TTAAACGAACGTATGATTTACCACCGCAGCCTGGAATGAACCCGATAACTGGTTGTGTTTTCTGTGTTTGCGTGTCATGTTATTATATCATATCTAGAACAATCTTTTGTTATTCTTCTCCAAGCTCTCATGTACTGAAAAATATTATATCTTTTGCTTACACTCTGATTCTTCTGGAGAGTTCTGTGAATCGAAACTTTTTTTTTTCCAGAGCTAATCGACAGACAGCAGATGTGTTTCTCTAGAATAATTAGTTCGTAACTATTGGTTTAATACGTAAACGTTTTACATGTGATTTCAACTTATTATCATATACTAATATTTCAAATAACCGTGCATATCGACTTGCAATCTCTTCTGGATTCTTCGACTTACCTAAGTTTAATTATTATGCAACAAAGTAAAAAACAGGATTTGCAAGAAAGTCAATGTTTCAAGCAGAACAAGTAATTGTGTATGAAGTACAAATTAAAGAAAAACAATTGTTGAAAAAGACTTATTCATATTATAAAAATCTGTGCTAAAAATCTATATTTCATTATTTTTAGTTTTTAAAACGTAGACACATTGTATAATAAAACACTACTTTTTGTCACAAGCACAACGTTATTTGATAAATAGATACACGGAAAAATGCAATTTGATCATAAAAGTTTATTCTCTCACAACTCTCTGGCCAGACATTATTATGTCAAAAAACTTGAAAATGTTTCTATTCCTTTTAATTTAACTGATGCAGAAATATATAAAAACTGCGTAAAATCCATATTATTATCATGACAAGAAAGCAATATATTTAAATATTTCATATTCGTCCACAAATTTACAATTTACAGAAAGTAAAATAAATAGCCAACTAGTACTTTGACTAACTTGGATATGATCCTACTGCATACAACTGTACATTGAAAGGTTAGAACTCAAATAAAAACTTCCCATTGGCTAAACGGTAAGTCTAAGGGCTTTTCATGCTAAAAATCGGATTTCGATACCTGCAGTGAGTAGAGCGGAAATAGCCCGTTGGTGAACAGGGAACAGCGATAGGCCCCATACTCAGCATAGAACATTCAGCCAACGCCATAAACAATGGTTTTATACTCCTTGTTATCTTGTAATAATATTCTACGAATGGAAGTTTGTTGTTTTACAAATATGAAAATTAGGGATGTGTTATTTTTTCTGACAAAAGTATCTCCTATGATGCTAAATCTAATATCATTTTAATTATTTTTGTGAGTAACTATGATACCCACAAACGGCTGTGAACGATGACTGGTAGTAGATTTCGGAACATTGTTGGCTATAGAACCCCCAAACCCTGCCTCTATTTGATTTTCTTTGCTGGATGATAGTCAGAATATCTCCTACGCTTTTGGAAGCTATTTTCCTTTATTTTAGTACTTTCCTGACAAATGGTATAATTTTTAATTATCTTGTTTTATGAATATATTAATGGCATGATAGTAAATTGAGTTTATTTGAAATTGTACTTGTTTTTGGTTAACACTATAATTTTGAAATTTGCTGTAAGGGCTAGTTTGATAAACTATCATGAAGTTCAAATCTAATGATTTTGTTTTGCATTATATACACACATATTTAGATGCATACAGACATACTGAATACAAATTACACACACACATATATATATATACACACACATATATATATACATATTTAGATGCATACAGACATATATATATATATACACACACACATATATACATATTTAGATGCATACGGATATATATATATACACACACACATATATATATACACACACACACACATATATATATACATATTTAGATGCATACAGACATACTAAATATATATTACATATACATATACACACATATATATATTTATATATACATGCATACAGACATACTAAATATTTATGACTGTTAAATTTCCTTAGGGGAAGACTTGTGGTTCATGTGACCATACCATTGTATTAGATAGGTGTAAGTATAAGTATACAGAATCATACAGATAACTTGGAACTAACATTCAGTTAGATTAATATATATACTTCTATCACGATTAACTCTTACAACTCCCAATTTAGAACACAAGATTGTAAAACTAGTTTGGCAGTGCTAACACGTTCAGGTCATGCAATAGTTAACACTAGACGTTTAATGCAATTATGAAGACGCTTTATTGAAAGTGACATAAACGAATTTACCTCGTACGCGAAAAATATCCTTCAACAAGAATCTATTGATCTTGTTAGTGTAAAGTATTGAGAAAAGTAGCTTCAACACACAGAACCTCACAGTTACGCTAGTGTAAATGGGGAGGTTACCTTTAATTGTCAACAAAGCACCTCAGATAAAAACGGCTCTATACTTGAAACTAAAACTTGGGCAAAACGGAAACCTTAGAGTGAAAACAAACAAAGAACAAAACAGAAACTATCAAGTCAGATTCAAGCAATTAAATAAAACTTATTTACTAATAATTTTTCATTTCTTTAGTTTAAACACGACATTGTATAATATGCTACCAGCAAGTTTTAGTACTATAAACCCACTATAACATACAGACAGATAAAAACTAAATTCGCTAGACAGATGAGTACTTCAAATAAATTGTATGATGCGATTGTCGAGCTGGACAACTAAAAAGCGTTTCATAGTACAGGGCTGTCATGCTTTGTCTACATATTGCTATGCTTTTTAATGCCTATGTTGTTTCTATAACAATAAGTAAACACAACATAAAAAAGCTCACTCGGCTAAAAAAGTGTAAATAACACATGATATTACTGATGTTCCGGCTCATTCTTTTTTTTTGTTGTTGTTGTTGTTCAAATTTTCGCGAATTTATTCCCTGGTATATATACATATTGTGTTTCGCTATTTATTTGCTTTATATCTCTGACCATATAAGCCGCTTAAAATCAGGTGCTTAAAGTATCAAAACTTTAAAGTTTTATATGTACATATATGTATGTATATATATATGTATATAACTGTTATGCAGGTGTTAGCAATAATGAATTGTCGATATACACAAACTAATATTACGCAAATATAAATTAAATTAGGCTTCTATTAATAATACTGATTTCAGTTTCTGCAATTTTGAACTTTTTATACAATGATAGTAGTCCGTGTTTGACTATGATATTGTAAAAGTTGTGAGGATAGCTAAAGACATCTATAGAAAACTTACCTGGGTGACCACGAACTGAAACTAACTCATTCCACGACCACGACATTGAACTATTAAGTCGTCCACGATCTGGAGGTATCACACGACTCGCCAGTGACTTGGAGCTAACACACATCTTGCCAGAACCGGGAGCTAAAAGCACCTTGACTTCTACCTGGAACTAACATTCATTATGTTAGAAAAACACGTAGGTTCAAGAAGTCTTGATAGAAATTAATAAAAACCCTATAACCCGAGCGTTTTCGAAAGGTGGACCTTTCTTCTTCAGGGGCAAACAAGTTGACACGATTTGGAGCTAACACACATTTTAACCATAATCTGAAGTTTGCATACACCCTGACAACGATCTGGATTTTTATATATATATACGCTGACTACAACCTGGATCTAACACGCACCTTGATTAGGAGCTGTAGCTAACACGCACCTTTAATAGGATCTGGACTTAACACACCTTGACCACGATCTGGAGTTCACACATATTAACCATAATTTGGAGCTAACACACACCTTGACCACAATCTGGAGTTTACACACATTAACCACGATCTGGAACTAGCATGCACCTTGACTAGGATCTGGAGTTCACACACATTAACCATGATTTGGAGCTAACACACACCGTGACTAGAATCTGGAGTTAACAAACACACCTCTAAAGTGACTTGATGCTAAAACCACGACCTGGAACTAACAAGTGAATTGTGACCTGGAGCTAACACTATAAAATATTTACTAATTAGATGATATAAATAACCTATAACTTGCTTTATAACTTTGTTCATGTTCCAGGACAAGAATTGACGTATATCTCACCACCGTTAGGAAACAACCAACATAAAAATACGAGACCATTTCACTGTATAATTGTGGATATCAGTCATATAGATTATTGACCAATTTGTCACGTGCCATTGAGAATATAGGTAAAAATTCAAAATTTTAAGTGCAAAATCGTATGAATATTGGAATTATTTAAGAAAGAACGTTATAACTAACAATCTAAGTTCAAATTAGAATTAAGTATAAATCGACAAATTACAACAATTCTAACAACATTATTAAGTATCGATGTATTTCGAGAGTTACAATAATTAAGTACCGATGTAACTGGACGAGTTTTGACAATTCTAACAAGAATTCAATACCGATGTAATTTGACGAGTTCCAACAGTTCTAAAAATAATTCAATACCGATGTAACTGAACGAGTTCCAACAGTTCTAACAATAATTAAGAGCCAGGCTAGCTCTACGAGTTCGAATTTTAAAATAGTAATTGAGTAACAATATAAATGAACAAATTTTGAGGATTCAAATAGTATTATTAAATGTCGATATAGTTGAACCAGTTTCAAGATTTCTAACAATGGATTAAGTATCGATGTAGCCACACAATTCAAGTGTTATTATTGAATGAAAAACAGCAACAACGTGCTAACTAAAGAACTTCCAACAAGTAAGTGGGGCAGGTGTATTAATTTTTCCTTAATACAATGCTTCTTTTATAAATCTAATGCTCCCCCCCAAAAAAAAAGAACAACAACCTTTTTTATACAGATGTATAAAAAGAACATCTAGCTTGGAGTAAAAAAATAAAAAGAAGCTGAACAAATTGATGCAAAAAAAAAAAAGACTTGCGAGTCTTCGTTTAGTATAGTTGAGTATCCAGTCACGCACCGCCATGAAATTTCATTGGCTGGAAACTGAAGCAATGATCGAATGTTAGAAAAGTCTTCCTTAATGACGTCATAGCTATATTATAATAATGTTTCGTGATGTTACAATATAAACTAGTTTTAAAACGAATGAGCTTGTTGAGCAGAGTTCCACAGACCGAGCAAACTATTTTCTGACAGGCACTGAATCCTTTACTGAAGAGCACAAGTTTCAAGTTTTACCCTCAGGCTGGTAAGTCCACGTGCTAGCAAACTATAATATTTGAATTTCTTCTAAAGAACAACTAGAAAGGTTGGCATTTGATAACAATTGTAACAGAAACCCTTCTTAAGAGTTAACATACATGTGTATGAAAACGTTTGAAATGAAACAGAAACATTAACTTTGTTTTCATTTACAATAATGATTAAAAACGTGCTGACAAGGAAATCGTGAGTTGTACGTGTTTCTTGGTTTTAGTGAAATATTTTACCTTTTATATTTGTCTTTCGCATAAATTTAACTTGTTTGATCGAATGTTTAAAAAAGTAAAATTTTTCCCGATTAAAAGTTTCTTTCTATAATCTTATGTTAAATTTTAAGATAATGACTCAGTCTCTGACTAAGAAAAGAATTTACAAGCTTGAAGAAGACTTCGTCTATTTTGTCACATGTTCAAAATGGTGAAAATTATAATTTATTCAACATTTTACTGATTAGAACAAGCCGCACAAATTGATGTGAAGAACAACAATAAAAACTTGTGGGTCTTCCTTTAGTATAGTTGAGTATCCAGTTAAAGGAATAACTTAATTTATATTTAAAATAAATATTCCAAACGATAGTTTGTTTGTTTGTAATTAAGCACAGAGCTACACAATGGGCTATCTGTGCTCTGCTCACCATGGGTATCGAAACCCGAATTCTAGCGTTGTAAGTCCGCAGACATACCGCTGTGCCACTGGGGGGCCAAAACGCTAGAATCTTATTATTACGTTCAATAATTCGGATTGGAAGATAGAAACACATGTTACTAAATTTTTTTGCGAGTATTATACAAAAAGAGTGACATTATTAAGAGAATTTTAGCCTTTTTAATAATACTTTATTTTAGTAGTTCGTGTTTTTTCTTTTCTTAAGCTACAACGCACTTTATTTTGACGTCTAATTCCTGTATTTGTGATTGATAATTGCATATAACATGAGTGAAAACCATTTATTTCAAATATTTTAATAATCTATGGCCCATTACATGAAATTCAACAAATAAAATATATAACATCAATAATACATATTAGTGTGGGAAAGCCGTGTCTTATTTGTATCTTTCCAATATATTATGAGTTTATCTTAGGTTCTTGATTTGTAAAACGACAATCCATTACCTGGAATCTGATGAACTAGGTAGCAAGCGATTCTTTGTATTTCAAATTGTGAATAAACTAATAACAAATGGATTTATACACAAAATAATTAAAATCAGTGGCGTTGTGCCTATAGGTAATAGGTATTTCATTAAAGTTGGTAACAACCCAGCCATATAATAATGAAGAAATGTCCTTGCTATTTCCCAAACATGTATTATCCACAATTAACTTTACACAGTACTCTATCAAAAAAATCACATATAAAAAACAGCTAACCAAACTGTCATATATAGTTACACAACTCCTTAGGTTCTCTCGTGTCTTATGTTAATTGTCAAGGCATAGTTTTTAACCTGTTAACACATTTGTGTTAACACTATATTTAACAGCTTAGACCAATAAAATTATATATTCAGTGACAAATCTTTGGCAAAATCTATAAAAGCATAATACATTTTATCCCAATTTATTTTAATGTAAACATTTGATCAATAGTACTGTAACATTTTATCATATGTAATTTATCGTTTACCTATACTCACTCATTTACTCTTTGATTAAACATTTTAGTAAATAATTTTCCCATTACGTTCAAACCGAAATGCCCACACTCTTACAGACAAGCGTAATTATTTTCTCGCACATATTTCAATATTTCCTTCCGCTTTGTATAATTTGGTATAAATTACTGAACCTAACTGCCAATTATATTTCACCTTTTCTTCGGCCTAGGCCTAATCAACGTACAATCTACATTTCTGCTTTTATAAACTAAAATATTAGTGGTTCATGCTACACTATTGGAAATTACTCAGTATTCATAACTTAATGGATAATTTTACATAATTCTGGACACAACTCGTTCATAACATGCTTAACCATCTCACCTGTAATACCATCGATTTTAGAATCTCATTATGTGGGAGATTTATAATAGCGCTTTTCACGCCTTCTTGATTTATGTGCGTATTTATAAGTTCGTCAATATTACTATATGCTCCATTTCCTTGTTTTTCACTATTATGTGTATTTGGATTGTGTTTTTTTTATTCTAATTTAAATATAGTAATTTATATAGTACTTATATAAATTTTCTGGCGTAATATTATTTATAAGCTGAGTTCCCACAACTCTTAAGTTTATTCTAACTTTTCGAGAGTAACGTGAATTATCTATTATCATCTTGTCTGGAAAAAACATTCCTCCACACAGTTTTTAAAAAACGCGTTTCTTCTCTTTATAAGTTCCCAAACCTATATTCCAATTAATAATTCTAATTGTTTGAAAGTCTTAATTTTCTCTTCTTTTATCCATCTTCACAATCTCTGCCATACTTTACAGCTTTGTACTTTTGCAACCAAATACCATGTATATTTCTCCTTTCTAAGCCTATTTATTACACCCACTAGAACACGTTAATAACAAAATAATTCATGTACATTCGTGTAAGATTATAAATAATTTTAGTTAGACATAACAATTGTTTTTGGTTTACACAATAAAAATCTGATCTACAGTCTCTACATATTTTCACACTACAACACGCCATCTTCAGGAGTGTAAATCACCAGAACATTACACTATTTATGTATTTTATTTAATCATACGACATCTTAATCTACATGATTTTTTTTATAAAATCTCACACATTTATATAAATTCTGCCTAAATAATCCCTAATCCTTTCCAATACATTATCAGTTTTCTTAACTTTCATTATTTCCAAATATTTACGAATATTTCTGATACTATTTCTAGGTTAAGCTAATAAAAATGTTTTTCCCACTGTTATGTTATACTGAGATGTTCGGTTAATAATGAAATATCTATCTTCTTATTTTTAACATTTTCTTCACTCACTCTATATTTTAAGCAACTTTTAATCTGACATATGTACATGTTTTCATATTCACAAATTATTTAATACCTAATTTTTCCTATTACATTCACTTTATCCTTAATTTTTATTTAATAATTGATTAACTTTATGTATGGGTTCATTATAGATAGAGCAAAACTTTTTTATTTCTAAATATTAATTAAAAACCTTACAAGATAAACCAGGTATATAGAACAAAATTAACCCTTCTTTAGTTTTTGTTTTCAGATTTTTTCATCAAACTGCTTTTATCATAAATCTGTTTCATAGATTACTTAACTGTTATATCAATAATAACTGGGCAAAAACCTCTATCAAACGCTACATGTTTCAATAATAGTATTGTATTATCGAATTCTTGTTTAGAACACAGTTTTATAACTCTCTATACATAAAAATAGAAAGGTGATATTTTTTTATTCTTCGTATGACGTGATTGTTGATGTGGTGGCATGATCACAGAGAAATGTTTACAATAAATTGTAATCTCTAACGTTTTTTCCATTTCTTTTAACTGATGCGTCTAAACTATAATTTTCTTATGTTTTATAAATGTATTTATTATAAATCTGTAAACTATTTAAAACTAACAAACTTTGTTAAAATATTCTTTACCATGTAGCTATATCACAAAAGTGTCATCTACAGACCTAATCCAAATCTCTGGTTTCAAATGAAACTTATTTAAAGCTTCATTTTCAAATTCACTCATATATAAATTATACAATTATGGAGACTCCACATCCAACCCTTTCTTCTGTCTTTAATATTTATCATTAACCTGAAAAAAGAAAAAAAAACAGATTTTCTACATAGCTTTTTACCAGATTAATAATATCTACAATTCTTAGTGGTCAATTATTTAGTTATGATAATAATAATTTAAACAGGTTCTTTCCCCACATATCCTATTTTTATTTCTGCATTTAATTTCTCATAATTGTATAAAAAATGATAAATTTCATTCAATACAATTAACCTTTCAAATTAAATCTTAAACAAGTTTAAAACAGCTCGCTTTTTGTAATTATGACCCAAGGTTTTATTTTCCCTAAAATGCTCATATTTAATGTACAACTTATTAGGAACAAGCTGGTAAAATCTTCATTGAAAATTTGATGTTTTTCGATCAAGTTAAATATACTTTAAGATTCCATTACATAAACAATGTTACTTTTATCATTCTCCTTTACAAAAGAAAACTTATCTTTTCTACCTGATGGTGATCTCTCGTTAAAAATGTGATTTCCGTTATTACGGCAAAAACCTAAACGATCGACCAAACTTATTATATTTCTCATTTTTAGAGCCTTATTACAAAACGTACGTGGGATTATATCGAAATACAATTTACATTAAGGATTTTCAAGCTCTTCCAGTTTAATTAATTCCAATATTTTCCCATCTTTACGTTTAAATCACTAATTAGCATTATCTTTGCATCATCATGTCTGGATTTTCCAAGATTTCTGTACCATTATCGAAATTTTGATATATTCCAATAAATGTGTTATATATGTTTCTTTTTTATAGCACTATGATGCTACTTCAGTGTTTTCCATATCTCTAGAGTCTCATAACAAGTTGTCAAAACGGGAAACTTGGCTCAATATCCACTTCGATTATTAAACTGCAATGTAGTACTAACTGCCTCGACATTTTCCCAATACTTCAAAAATTTAATAATAACCAGTGATTAGTCAGCATTCATACCGAGGTTCTAATAATTATTTACATAACTCACCACTGTTACCTATCACGAAATTCATTGACAGTTACCTATTTAACAAGCCTGTCGCAATCAATATTTTGTAAAATCCTCTTAGTTCCTACAAACATTGAATTAAATCTACAGCTTATAATCTCCCTTCTTCACAATTCTAACTTTTAACCATTTCGCTGCCGTAGAGCCTACAGCATGATATTTTTATGTGTTGTAGAATCCACGACACGTACCAACCTTCTTTCCCTATATCACGCAGAGGTGCAGTTGTCTTAGCTACGCA